GACCTCTATTGTCATGCAACTGGTGACCATCCCATAATTAACGTCTCGTGTTGAGCAAACAGTTGCATAACACGCACGCTAACATGGCTGATTTGCAGCAGTTCTTCGAAGCCAGTTCTTTATGGTTAGCCTTGATCGCCGGAATATTAGTGTTTCTGTATTGGCAAGGTCTGTATCGCTACAACGCGATCCTCGGAGGATCACCTCTGCCCGGTCCAAAACCGTGGCCGTGGGTCGGCAATCTTTTCGATGTATTCAAATATGACGGGATACATAAGATGCTATTGGAGTACTTCTACAAGTATGGCCGAGTATACAAGATCTGTATGGGAAGAACACCAGCGATTGTTGTCTGCGACCCCGAAATTGTCAAACAGATTATGGTGAAAGAGTTCTCGAAGTTCCCAAATCGGCCCCCGTTCGTAAAGCCCAACCCACCGTTCGACTCTGGGCTCGTCATCGCGCGCGATGAGTCGTGGAAACGAATTCGAACGACATTGACGCCGACCTTCACCGCCGCGAAACTGAAACAGATAGTGCCACTGATTGAGAACGCATCTGATGCACTGATGAGCAAAATGCAAAAATTCGCCGAAACGGGTAAGCGTTATTGCTTTGTTGCAGCTGCGGCATATTTGATTAGGGTTATGAGGCAGGGCTCTTGGGCGGCTTTATTTTGAACTAAGCACTCTATAAGTAGGGCTTGGAAGTCACGAGATATTTTCGTGGCAAACACGTTTCGTGTGAAGCCAGCCACTACGGTAAGTGCGTACGTGGATTAGCATGTCATCTTATGAAGCCGGCATCTTGAAAGAAAACAAATAAGTCTTAAGCATGGCCCTGATACCTTTTGTTCCTTTTTTATTTTCATTTTTCTTTTGTTTTGTTTTGTTTTTCTCTCTTCTACGCTACAGAAGAACGTCCCTGTACTGTGAGGTAGTGCAGAAAGTATAATTTGATACAGAAGCCGATGACATTTCAAGTCGAAATGTTAGCGATCGAGAATAAAGTAAATAAACAACTGAGCACTCCCTGTCCTTCTTTAAATAAATGCGTACAACTTGCGCGGCCTTTCAACGTTGCACTGAAGTCCTTCKTRYSCGGRGYMKT